TCAGCAGCAGGTTTCCTTCAGTAAACTCAGTGTCCTCTGTCTCCGCTCCGCTTATAGCCAATCACGCTGCTTTAGTTCCTGATTTAGTCCGATTTTGGGCAGAGTTTGGTGTTTAAAAATGTATAAATCATTCTCTAGGTCCGTTAGACTCATTAGGTTTTAAAACAAACACTGCATGTCTGTTTGACGAGGATCTTATTAAAGAATGATCGGCGTTATTCACAGAGAATTAAATATTTATAGGGAGGATTCTACAGCTCAGCGACAGGAGAGGAGATTGCTGATGATATTTAATATGAGTGAGATGAGGATCATTTTATTTTTATATAATTATATTTACAGTACAGGAAGAACTGCTGACATTATTTTCAGATAACTCCCCAGATAAATGCACAATCTGCAGCCGTTCTAAGGCCTGACAGCCGCTCTGGGAAGAGGCTTCACAGCATCCACTGCAGGACCAGCAGGTTCTGTAACAGCTTCTTCCCCACCGCCATCCAATGATGAACTGATGATCTAATCCAGACTCTGCATCAAACTGATGACATCAAACCTAATAGAACTCAACTCAAAATGTGTTTCTACTGCATTTTGCAGCATATATTCACCTCTGTGATCGTCCACATGAATGCCTCCACGTCTCTCCCACCCTGTTTACATTCAGCCACTGCTGCACTTTATGAATGGAAATGTTCATTTCAGTGCTAAGCTGCTCAGTCACTGTCTGGAAGGTATACCAACCACTAAAACCTGTCTAAGAACGACCATTTATCAGGATGATAACATCCAGAGCGGCTGCAAACAGCCACTCAGTGTTTACTGTGTTAAAGAACCCATGAGATGATGAACAGGTTCTATTTATTAGAACATTTTCATTCCTCACCTGCTGCCAGATGATGTCACCTAAATAGATGCATTGATCTACGGCCATTATAGAAATAATTCTGCAACGTTATCACGGTCACAGCGCTCTATGGCAAGCAGTTTGGTATTCATTAGATTAACAAAACATGTATTCCTGATATCTGAAAAAAAAAATATTTGTCCAAATGACCATTTCAAACGAAATGACATCCTTCACATCTAGAATAAACATTCTGGATGTATAGATCTACATATTACTCTATTACTGAGCGCCAAAGAACATATTTCATTTATGTTCTGTCTCTGCTTCTGTCTCCTTGAACCCCAGTGGGCCTCAGCAGATGGCCGCTCACACTGAGTCTGGTTCTGCTGGAGGTTTCTTCCTGTTCAAAGGGAGTTTTTCCTCTCCACTGTCGCTACAAGCATGCTTAGTGTGAAGGATTGTGTTTTACCTGGTGTTTAACTATTCCTGATGTGACTGTAGAGGCGCCTGGCCTCAGACGCAGCACAGAGCCATTAGCTTCAGCAGAGAGCCTTTAGCTTCAGCACATAGCCGTTAGCTTCAGCACACAATCTGAACATCCAGAGAAGAAATGACCAGAAGCAACTTTTATAAGAGAAGTTAACGTAGATTCCTTCTTCGTGGGATCAAACGCTGTGATAAACTTCCAGGAATGAGAGTAAACTTGTCTGGTTTCTAAGAAAGAATCTGAGAGTTTTAGAAATCTGGCAGCTCTTCAAAAAACAATAGAAAAACAAAAAAGATAATCACTCTAATTCTGTTATCAAATATTTTCTGATTATTGTTCAATAAAGAGATTGGACAGCAGAAGAGAGGATAAAGTAATGACACCCTGCATACAGCAGGGGGCAGCATCCCTCTATCAGCTAAAATTAAGCTAAACTTTGAACATTTTCCTTCCTAATGAGTTTGGTTTTATCTGGAAGGAAGGGAAATTAATCAGGCTTTGATTAAATTCTAATAGAGATTATTCTCATATCATCCATGTCCTTGATTTTAATTGTCTAACTGAAATGTTTTATTTTACAGCTTATCTTCCGATCTAAAAAGTTCGGCCGTCTCTAAGGAATCCGCCATCATCAGAGATGAGTGGGAAACATTTTACATAACTTTATTTTCCTCTTTTTTCTTTCCTTGTTAAGGTAAAGGTGTTGGCAGCTTTATGGTTTAATGTTTCCTAATTAAAACCGAATTCAAACTAATTAGTTTTTGCAGAGCTGAGCATAAAAACCAAAAGCTTGTAGTTTTTAGTCACGTCTCACAATCAGCGACCGTTTGAACGAATGTTGAGAGAAAACATGCAGCCCTGAAATCTAAATGTTTTTCTGCTAACACATTTTCATTTCTAATTTTATTTTTCTAAATGAATTTCGGTCGGTTTTTGCTGGGATGTCAGATTATTATAAGGTGGGAAAAAGTTCCAGCATGAACCCAGCTGGTCCCAGGACATTCAGTGCCCACCCAGCTGCTCTAACATGCCCCCTAGTGGACCAAAAACACAGTACACTTCATCAGCTTTAACTTTGGGGTTGTTAGTATTCAATAATTATCTGGAATCCAAACAAAGGTTTTTATTTATAAGTTTAATTAATTTTCAAACTGACAGTTTTTCTTGTTTTACGGCACTAGTGGCTCGTTTTTCTGACAGTAAGCTGACAGGAAAGGGGGATGAGAGAGAGGGAGAGACATGCAGCAAAGGACCACAGGCTGGATTTGAACCCGGATCAGCCAAGAGCTAACCCCAGAATCCCTCATCCTCCGTCACCGCTGCTCTCCAGACCGCCGGCGCAGAGCCTACAGCCTCCGCTGTTCCTCCCGTCCTGCTCCTCTCCCACCTCCTCGGAGTTTGAAGAGAGTGTTGTGCCATATGCCATTATCAAACTTTTTGGACAT